AGTGGCTATACATCAAGCAGTAATCTAGAGACTACATTAACTTGAGTAAATCAAATTTTTCACTTACCATTTGTTAGTCTATCAAACAGAAAGATATCAAAATTCCAATTTCCAACTTTTTCCAGCATACACTGAAATGAAAACCAAATATTCCTACTGTAATTGAATTTCAATAACATTCTGTCTTTTGTAGATAGTCCACAGAGAAGTTAATGAAAATGGAAAGTGACTGATTTTTAAAATATCAAGTATTAATCTCCTTTTAAACATGATTTTCTAAATTGGCTCCAGAAAACATCCAAAGGGATAAACTCCATTTGAAAAATGAAATACTATTTTGCTTTTCAATTAATGAATGCATAAGCAAGGTTATTGCTTCTTTCTTAACTTATTTATAAAGTCCTACAAACTTTCAAGAATTCTAACACAACATCATAAAAATGAAGTTGCTAAGTTGCCTGGTCTAGAAACCAGATTTTAAAAATTCAGGGAAAATAAGTTATAGTAATTACTGAGCACTTACTGATCCCCCCAGTGGGGTTATTATTACTTTTCTCACTCTTTTATTACCATTCATACCAATACTACCAAGCAGATACTGTTTTCAATCCTCATTTTAAACAGGCAAAAGGTAACTAACTTGTTCAGCTAAGTGACAAAGCTGGGATCTTAAATTAAGCTGTCTGATTCTGGAACCCTAGCACCATGCTTAAAACAATTCCAAGTTATGGATATTTATATTCTCTAAAGATCCTTATAAAATAATAAAATTTACAGCACAAACTTTTAGGAAGCTATGTATTTTTGTCAAGCACATAAATCTCACAAAGACCTGAAAAAAACAAATATTTTAAAATATATATGTGTATATATATATATATATTTTAATTAGAGATGGGGTCTTGCTATGTTGCCCAGGATGATATTGAACTCCTGGCCTCAAGTGATCCTCCCAACTCAGCCTCCCAAAGTGCTGAGATTACAGTTGTGAGCCACTGTGCCCAGTTACACCATATATTCTAAATCTGAACATTTTATGGACTTTTTCAGAAAAAATTATTTTATGTGTAAAAGTTCATTGTTGTATACATGTATGAATAAATTTGCATGAACAACACTAAGACACTATTAGTAGAGAATGCTGATTATGATAGCACCAGTAACAATCAATGATAAACAAAGATCAATATTTCCATTTTAAAATGCAGAAACTATAAACTTTTTAAAATATAAGGAAAAAGCAGGCTCAGCGCCTATAGCACAGTGTTTACGGTGCCAGCCATGTACACTGAGGTTAGCAGATTCGAAGCTGGCCAGGACCAGGTAAACAACAACAAGAATTGCAATAAAAAATAGCCCGGCACCTGTAGTCCCAGCTACTTGGGAGGCCAAAGCAAGAGAATAGCTTAAGCCCAAGAATTTGAAGATGCTGTGAGCTGTGACGCCACAGCACTCTACCAAGGGTGACATAATGAAACTCGGTCTCAAAAAAAGAAAGAAAGAAAGAAAAAAGCATAAATACTGTCCACTAGTTCACACACAGGAACAAAGCTTTTTACTTTTATATAACTGTAAATGCACCCTAGCCTCATCTCTGTAACTTGGAAACTTATCTACACAAACTTCAAAGTCTGGCCTATAAATATTAAGTCAAAGAATAATTTAAAATATATTAAAAATTTCAGATTATGTAAAATCCTCATTTGGCCAAACACAAGCTCATCTTGACTTCAATTAAGGCATTTCTTTTAAATTGTATAAAAATGAAGTAAATAATGCTTTAAAATAATTTCTTTTAAATTATATAAGTATGAAGTAAATAATTACTGGTTTTAATTAAGATATGTCTAAATCCTCAAAATCTCTCTTTGATGCAAAAGACTATGAAAACTCATCAGATTGAAATCACAAATCCTAACTTCCTGTCCAGGGATTACTTCTAACCATCTGTGTGAGCGCCAACATGTCCCTCTGCTCTCTAGACCAGGGGTCCTCAAACTTTTTAAACAGGGGCCAGTTCACTGTCCCTCAGACTGTCAGAGGGCTGGACTGTGGGCCCCGGGACCAGCTGGCTGCTAAGCAGTGGCAAAAACACCCAGTGGGCCGCAGTTTGAGGACACCTACTCTAGACCTTGGTTTCCTTACTGACAGAACACAGACATTATCAGATCAGGTCATCTCCAATACTCTCCCCAGCATTAAGATTCCGTGTGATCTCACAGTTTAACGCTTCATCGATCTACTTGTTACTTACCTAATATTATAATAATCAATGTTTCTTTAATTATTTCAGAAATTTCTCTTGCTCTGTAATACTAATTATAAACGAATAGCTTCTCTAAAGGAAAAAAAACCTATAAAACGGGCTCAAATTGCTTTTCACAGACAAAAAAAATTTCTATAAATCATTATAATTAGGAAAAAGGACTAAATAAGCTTCTAAAATCTTTTTCTTAAAAAGGTTATACATACCTTTGCTTGTCCATTATAATCATCATCTAAAATGTTCAGAGAACTTGAAACGGTAGTACCACGAAAAAAGCGTGAAGATCTAAGGTACCGCTGGAAGCTGAGTAACCTTCTGATATTCCTTGCAGATACAGACACTTCTATTTCAGATTGAGCTGAAATACAAGGAATAAAAGGTGAGTATAGCAAGTCAAAACTATACATACACTATCTCTGAAATATCCCTTTTAGTTATATATGATAAATTTTAATTAAATTTAAGTAAATAATAAAAATATTACATAAATTGAAACTAAAAATTTCATTTTTATATCATGTATTAAATCATGATACCACATTTCCAGCGAGAAGTATTTTATTTCTGTTTTCAATTGAAGAACTAAGGATGACAGGATAAAAGGCCAGTTTTGACAGCATTTAGAAAGCTAATGGCGAGAATGACTGGATTAATAATCAGGGTTTTTTAAAT